ATATATTAAAACTAGTAAGAATAAGTAACGAATTAAAAACTTATCACATTGTTTAACTTGAATCCAATCTTGTTGTCCGGTTTTCTTACTAATTTACACTTCGACACTGCTTTCGACTTACTGATCAAAAAATAATCAATTTGTTCTCTGGTGGGTCAGCTATAAGCTTACGGACTTACAAAATCCAGGATTTGATTACCACGGTGAACAGAGCGCAAATAGCCCATTGTCTAGCTTTCCACTAAATCAGCAACAAGAAGTATACTCTTTAAGTCATTGGATAAGTGATAAAATTATTAAAGAAGCTTGATAATGATTTTGTCTTTCAACTACAAGAATAGTTATCAAATTTTTGTTATTTATTTTATAATGATACAAGCTGAAATACCCATCAACTGATGGGGAATGTTTAAACTTAATTAAAACAATCTAAGTTTAACAGCAATCATATATTTCAAAGTAATATCTTGAACATAAACTTTATCTCAATATTTTAAAATTATAACAAAGCTTCTTCATAAATAGCCTCCCCCCCCCCCCAGTGACACAGCGGTATGCCTGCGGACTTAGAACGCTAGAATCCGTGTTTCGATACCCGTGGTGGGCAGAGTCCAGATAGCCCATTTCGTAGCTTTGTGCTTAATTACAAACAAACAAACAAAATCTTTATAAACAACATTTACAAGTTTGCTTTCAACAAATAAAGATTTTGATGTGATCCCACCCTTGAACACCCTAGACCTCATTGACCATGAGAAAAAGCATGGTTGTTTGAGAAACAGTCCAGCAACTTTCATACTTTGACCTCGAATCCCTTTAAAATATTCAACATTGTCTAAAGCGTCAACCTGCCAAGATTGAAATTGACTCACAAACTGGGAGTAAATAACTAACAAGCTTTACAAAATAGAAATAGCGTTAAGTTCGTTTTTACCTTATAAGGACATTCCTCATAGTTTGTAGTGTTTCCAAACGTATTTATCACTTCATTTGAAAATGTATAATATTAGAAAGAACATTTTTGCTTTTCACAACGTTTATAACACATTAAGAAAGACGAAAATTTAAAACAGGTATGCCCCAGAAAATAGCATTTAATGGTTATTGACTTAAACGACCATAACTTAATTGTCTCAATTCTATTCATCTCGAAATTAACGACGAGAATACTGAATATGGTGACTTGGAGACCTGATAGTTTAATTAGTTAGAACATATGCCTAGCAAAGAAATAGATTTGAATACCACATGTTCGAGATTTCACT